TCAAGATGATCCGACTGTTAGTTTGGAGTAAATCGTCGAAAACTGGAATTATCAGTTGTATCTTTATTATTCGTTTTTTTTTCAGCTAATAAATTACTAAATACTGACAACTGACAAAAACTGCAATAATCACTGTTTTTTTTATCAAAATTTCAGCATGTTTGAAGAAATACTTTTGCGTAGCGAGCGAGTTAAAAAAGTACAAAATATGCGTTTCATTAGTTGTGGTCCACCTTAAACAATGATTGTTTCAATTTTTTTTAAATATCGCTCTCTTTAATAGGTTGTAAATATGATGTAAATKTTCAAAACGATTTTTTTTTGATGTAAATCATTTATATCAAATTTACATCATTTATGGATACTTACATCATATTTTTTTAAAATTTACAATTAACCCTCTGATGGCAGCCCAGTTTTCTCGATTGAGGGTCGTTTTTTTATTCACGGAAGAGATAAAAAATCATTGAACCTTCATAAGAGGAGCTGCCAGTCTTTTTTTCATGGATTCATATTCCTTTGGGAACGTGCCTTTCTGTAACATTCGCCTAAATTTGAGACTGCTCGCTAGATTAGCAAACGCACAGTCTCAAACTTGGGTGGGGTATGTAGTCTTTTTTTTGCCGTTCTTAGTGGCGGGCTCCCTGTCCCCCGAGCCCGCCACTAAGAACGGCTTTTTTTTGACTAGGGGGTATGCCGCTGGGACAAAACCCTGATCCTGTTCCATAGTGAAATCGCTGATAACTATATCCTGTTCCAGAGTAAAATCGCTGCAGAAAACGATACCCTGTTCCAGAGTTAAATCCAGCACTAGCCTGCGTGTAGACGGAATGTCTACCCCGTGAATTTTTACCCTTTTTTTATAATTTCGAATTAAACCCTGACCCTGTTCCAGAGAAAATTCGTTGAAATCGATTTTTTTTTTCAGAGTAAAATCGCTTAAACTGATACCCTGGTTGGCGAAAAGTACCCGTATTTTTTTTATAGGGGAGTTCCATCCCCCCCCCCCCCCCCCCCCCTACAATCGGGAATGGGTTTTTTTATCAACCCAAAAATGCATTTTTTACTTGGCAATTTTGACAGGGCAATTTAAGTCTAAAATAGGAGTTCACCACTGCTGTCCAGGCCAGTAAAAAGCACATGTTTATCGCGTTCACGGTTTATTGGTGACTGCATTTTCCTATTCTATGATTTAGTCTGCTAGTTATTTTTCTCTTTTGAGCAGTGTTTGAAGTCAAATCTCACGATTTACGAAACTTGGAATTTTTCAAAGCATTTTTTTAATTCAAACCATGCTTAAGTGGCATCAGAGGGTTAGTGTGCCGTTCATTCTGATTTTTTTCAGTCATTAGTGTTCATTTAATCATTTAATCTCACAGTGAATCGCTTTGCACACTCTGCATGAGGGGTTAAATTACCCTAGCGTCACTTTCTCTCGCATCATAGGACGGACATCTTAAATGGGCACCGTACATTTTGGGGTCATTTTGCTATGATTTCACAGATTGGGACAGCATATTAGCTAACTTTTGGGATCATTTTCAAGAGCACCTCTAGAGTGCTCGCACTTAAAGCTTTTTTTWAGTAGTACTAATTACTACTAAATAGTGTTGATTATACAATAGGAAACAAAGAAATTTGTATAATTTATCACCTATTTTGTAGTATTTATATTTCATGCATTTAGTGCGAGCACTCTATTGCTTGTACAAGCGAGTATTTAGTATTGAGATTGTTTTGTTTCTTTTTCTTTTATTTTTTTAATAAGGTTATATCCATGTGTTTTAATCACATCAACGAAAGTACCATAAGAAAAGCTACACGGCTCATATGATATACAGCAAGTTACTTGTTGTCACAGGATTTTCCTTACCATTTTTTTAAATAGCTGTGTCAACAAGCCTATAGTATCACGTGAACATAATTATCAATAAAGGACAAAATTTATAGCAGGCTCTTCATTTTAGACTTTAGTAAATTAGAATTGAATAAGATTTTACAGTTAAATAAAAACTATATTTCATTATATTAGAACATTCATTCAAAAAAATTGCATTTTTTTCCATATCATACAGAATTGCAATTATATTACTATGCTATTTTTTATGCATTTGTCTTGTAAGCAGTAAGGCTTTTAAAGTTATTTCTCCGGCCATCATGTGTTCAGCAAGGCTTTATAGAGATAGTACCCTCGTGACATTGATTTGCTGCGACATGTACCGCGGAGCAGGGGCGTTTTTTTGGCTGGGGGGCTAAACCCCCCCCCAATAATTTTTCCGACATTTTGAATTTTCTTTTTTTTAAAAGCGAAAAGCATCTTTGTGAAATTTTACCATTTACATTTTCTATAAAACTTGTGTAAAAACTGAGCGTGGCCAACTAAAATTGAAGCTTTTTTGCGAAGTCTTTGGGATTTATTGATAATATCGCTGACCGTGTGTACGGTAAAAATTGATAACGCCTCAAAACGCTGGAAATGACATTTCCGACAGTCAAGATTTCAAAAATTTCCGAACCCMCCTAATACCTCCTYGCTTTTTTTCCCCCCWAGCAAATTCACGCTCCGCGGTCCCTGTGSGAGTGTTTTATACGATATTTTTTTCGCTGCACSGTCACAGAGGTGCATTGACATCGTATGTTGTTACGCTAGTGGAGAAGAATATCCGATTACTCCCTGTGATAAAAGTGCATRATACAATGCCCGATCAAGGCTGATTTTTTTTTTATAATTGTTTTGGGGATGTTATTTGAACTTTACTCGGTATGCGGGATATGTTTTTTTATATTATTGGAAAGAMCACCACAAAATAAAAAGATTCCAAAGTTTGGTTGCTTTTGGTTAAATAATGTGTAAGAAATGGACCTTCGAAATGTTCGAAAATCACAAGGAAATGTGATGGCTGAAATTGTGTTTTTCCAAAATAAAATAGATATGAATATTTTGTCACTGTAGCATTTTTTTACTATCAGAAATAAACGTTTTTGGAACGTTTTAGAACTCTGGACAAAATAAAATTTTTTTTTAAGGTGAAATGAAAATACATAGAAATTACATAGTATGTAATTTCCACAAATTTTTTTTTGTCTATTTATTCCTGAATGTGAAATATGTGAAAACCTTTTTCACTGTCGTGTTTTTTTTCTACCAGAAATAAACATTTTTGGAAAGTTTTACAGCCCTCTGGATAAAATGCGTTTTTTTTTATGGCCAATTGAAAATACAAGAAATGTATGTAATTTTCAGCCAAGGCCTTTTTTTTTTCCTCGTTTCTGTTGAGGATGATTCTGTTGAGGATGACCTTTGAACGATAATTTTTTTTTTGTTCGATAATGAAGGTAAAAAATATATTTTTGTATACAGTTTTCTGTGATATGTTTTTTTCGAGTAGCCCGGGTTCAAACATCGATTATTGAAACAATGTTGATTATTGTGGGTTTTTTTCTTTTTGTCGAGAAGCTTTCAGTTTACTTTAAATCAATTGACCTTTACAGACTTTTTTTTTAAACTTCATCCAACGGAACAAAATCTACCGAAGTCAATATTAGTACAAACTATTTTTTTATAAACATACTCTTTATAATATTTGTTCGCATGTCAACAAAACTGTTGTAACTTTTTTTTSTTAGAACAAAKTATCTACCTTTGAAATAGCAGTACTACTGAGATAATCATTTTTTTTTTGTATATTGGTATTGGAGCTCCGCTATTAGGTGTTACCTAATTTTTATATTAAATTTTTTTGAACAAGAACCCTCCTTTATTAGAAGACTGTTCGTTCGTGCATAGTTGAGTACTTTTTTTGGTTCGTGAAGGTTTCATATCACCAGGCGACTAGTAATTTCTTAACGAAAAGGTTTTTTTCTTTAAACTCACTGTCCATAAAACGGTTGAAGAGTTTAAGCAACTTTATTGACTTTTTTTCAGTTTATTTCATT